GGGGGGAATGTGACTGGCCGCACAGAGTCCTGACCTCAACCCCATAGACCACCTTTGGGATGAATTAGAACGGAGACTGCGAGCCCGGCCTTCTCCTCCAACATCAGTACCCGACCTCACAAATGGTCCAACATTCCCATAGACACACTCCTAAACCTTGTGGACGCCTTCCCAGAAGAGGCGGAGCTGTTATAGCGGCAACCCAATACTGAACCCTACAGACTAAGACTGGGATGCCATTAAAGTTCATGTGCTTATAAAGGCGTCCCAATACTTTTGGCAATATAGTGCATACCACAGTGCTGTACAGAGAACACTGAGCCAGTCACATCAGTCTCTGTACCAGAGGAGCTTACACTCTAATGTCCCCCCACATTCACACACTATATAAATTGTACATTAGAGAACATGTGCCTGTTAATGATTTAGACGCAGCGGTCCTTGGCTTGCCCTGGGATTCATTACTGGCTCATCAGACAATAGCAGGCCACATATTATTTAGTTGCAGAAGCCATATCTCTTGAACTGATCATAAGGGGAGACTTGTGATTGTGAAGGGTGGGGAGTATAGGGGGGCAGAACATGTTTATTATTGAGCAATGGGAGCATGCAGTTGTCTTCACCCCACCATGCAATGCTGGGTGCCTGGCGTTATTGATGACCTCTGAGGCAGAGATAGCCTTCAGCTCCATATATGCTCCAGAATGGCTAGGAGTGTACACAGATCTTCCTGCCTGAGCAGAGGAGCAAAGCAAAGGTTCATAAAGGAATGAAATGCCCCCCATATGTGACAGGTGCTCTTTATGAGATCTATTGTGCCCCCTGAATGCAGTAGATACAGATCAGGGATAGACCGTGCCAGCTCAGCGCACTGGCACACAAGCACTGAACAACATAGTACTCGGGTCTTAGCACTTCCAGGTTCATTCTCTGCAGAGGAAATTGGTGAACTCCAGGAAAGTAAGCCTGGGGTCCTCACTGCTGGGGTCAGGGTGCTCATCTCCCCCTGCAGCCATCAGGAGGGTGGGAGTTGGTGATTGCAGCAGCAGAGGGACCCCGAGAGCTCACAGGAGAGAAGGCAGGACCAGGACCAGAAGGTCAGAGGGTTCGAAGCAGCTCCTGCCAGGAATGGTATGGAACGTTCTATTGCATATCCCTGCCTATGAATAACCTAAGTGTTCAAATCAAAATAAAAGATACCAAAAAAAAAAGAAGAATTTTCAAGAAGTATGACAAAGCAAAAAACATCGAAAATCTAAGATAGAAGAGGAATGAGATCTTCCTGTGCAACAGAACAAGCGATGAGAATATCTAACAGGAAGTCAGCTGTGTGCGGAGTTATATCTCTTCTAATAATTGCTCAAACTGAAATAACTCCGATCCCGATAAACAAGTGAGCAAAATAAACAGACGCGGCCGGGAGAAAGTTCAGGGAGAGACGCCATGGAGGAATGCAATTAGAGGACACTTAAAGGATCACTCCACCCAAATCCCTTGAAAAAGGATGGAGTGTGATGGATGGATCTCCAAGAGCCCCAGGTAGTGACCTCTCAGGGTCCTCCACCCAGCAGAAGCGGGGACAAAGAACATCCAAATTCTACTTTCATTTCCTCCAAATACAAAGTTACTGATACAGTTACCGGCCCGATTCTAACTTTGCCGAGTGCTGGTCCGCAGACCGACAGGATGTGAAGTTGACTTTCATATCACTTTAGTACTTTTATGGTGATATGAAAGTAAAAAAGATTTTTCAGACATTTCGAATTCTAATTGAATCACTTACAATGGACGCTGCTTCTAGATGTAGAGAAGTTTTAGCTTCCTGCAGAATCAGCTGGTCCCCTGAGCACTGGTTCCGACTTCCTGTTTTAGGGGGGGGGGGCTCCTTTCCCTTGTAGGGTGCTATGGAGCCCCCCTTGTGTGTGCTAGTAAGCTTTGTCTCCACAAAGACAGACACCGCAAATCAAGCCATTCCTCCCTTCTCAAAGCTTGTACTGGACAGGAAGTTCAGGGAAGCCGAGCTGAGAGACTCTGAGCTGTTCAGAAACATGACGACTAAGTTCTTGGGCTAAAATGTAAAGAAATACTTTGATGGGCGATCTAGATTTGTTTGATCTGAATTCATCAGAGAACAAAAAAAGTTCAAGGAGTTTATTTTCATTTAAGTTCTAATTTCGGTGATGCAAAAAAGAAAACCGCTGACCTTCTGGACACGGGCAGCAATCAGGACTAGTGATGCACTGATACTAGTATCGGTATCGGTGCCGATACCGAGTATTTGGGCGAGTACTCCTACTGGCCCAAATGCTCCGATGCCTAGCCCCATACTTCCGGTATCAGGATGCTGGGCAGCAGGTCATTACACACTGCCCAGCTTCCTGATTGGCCGGCCCCATGCTCTCTTGTCACTTGGTGATGGAGCCGGCTTCCCGGCCAATCAGGAAGCCAGTGTAATGACTCGCTACCCAGCTTCTCAACCAATCAGAGATCCAGGCGGCAAGTCTTCACCCACCCCCAGGCTTCCTAATTGGCCGGAAAGCCTGCTCCATGTTTCCTCGTCACCAGCATGGAGACAGCTACCCGGCTAATCAGGAAGCCGGGGGGCGGGTAAAGACTTGCCGTTTGGCTTCCTTAATGGGACTTCCGGTATCGGTATTCGGTATCAGCGAGTACCAGGAAAAAAAAATATCGGTACTCATAACCAAAAAAACGATATCGGTCCACCCCTAATCACGACCCCTCGATTACTCTGACGTCAGAGCTGGATAGAGCAGGAACAGACTTGAACCTGTTTTTTTACTGCCATTTGCGGCTTCACAGGTAAGATCTCCCCTCACTTCCTGTCCCGGTGACCACGGCTTCACCAAGTGGGGAAACAATCTGCAACAGAATCCCAGACAGCAAAACAAAGCTGAGCGCATCTAGAATTTAAAGCGACAGTAAACTCAGGAGGAAAATCTTCAAAATACATTCATGGACTACAATCTCAGTACAAATGAGTAAACTAAACATGAGATTGTAGTCCATCCCAGGAGCGAGCTTGGAGCGGTGACTACTTCACAACACACACAGGGACCATGGGGAACAGAAGTAGTCACCCTCCAGAAGTAAGGACGGTGTCAGAGATGATGGGAGGATCCTACAGCCGAGTGATATACAGATAAGATACATTGTTGCTCAGAGTTCAGAGACTGGAATGTGTTTGGAATTCTCTCATTGCTCCGGATATTTGGAATTCTCTGTACATATATGTTACACTTGAAATCTCTCGTTTCTCTTCTGTGTCCCAAAGATACTTTATGGAAATTCCGAAAGCAGAAACTAAAGGACTGAAGAAGAAGAAGAGACAAAGGGCCGGCTTGCTGGTTTTGTTAGAAAAGCCTCTTTGTGTCCCCTGGAAGTTTAAAAGGTCCCCCGACCCCTCCCCTGTTTAGAAATGCTGTATAACTGAGAACCAGCCCCGTGCAGAACTCCTCTGTGCTGATCACTTTCTTATTTAAAGCTGAACACCAGGCACAAAAACATAAAAATATTGCTGAAAAAGTTTTTTTTTTAAACCCCCACTGTGTGTGCATCAAATGGCTTTGCAACCCCAGATATTAGCTTGTAAAAGTAGCAGTGACATCACTGTGCTGCACATAGTCTGTGCAAAGAGCAGAGCTGTCCCAGCAGGCCCCACCCATTACAGATAGTGTACGGGGGCGGAGACCAGACCAGTCACCCTGCACAAGGAGAGAGAGCATGGTATTTGGGGCGAGTCAGCAGTCGCAGCAGTGTATAGAAAGCAGCCGATTCCAAACCCTCCATACAGCGGATCCCCCTCTGTACTCCTCCCGGAGAGGAACAATGGAGGACATTAGAACACATCCTGGAGCCGAGAGCTCTGACTGCATTACATCCACAAATGTCTGAAATTCCTGAAATTCCAAAACACTTGTAACTTGGATTTCACTTCTCCGTATCGCAGTCACAGAGCTGGAAAATAACAAAATGGTTATAAAAAATAAAACCCAGCAACATGGAAGGAGGAGCGACTCGGATTATACAAAGTGACCAACTATTGTATCTGTTCACATCCAACAAGAATGGGAATCTCTGGGAGTTGTGGCCCCAG